TTATTTATATTATTTATACTTAAAAAATAATAGATTATAGATAATGTAATGATAATGTAAAAATTCTTACAACTTTTATCTAGTATTATTAGTATACATCCCTTGTTTCAAAAATTTAACAGAAGTATTTTGTATAATATTGATAGAGAATATTCTTCATCCCAATTAAGTGGCACTCTAGAGAGAAGATGATTCGCCTAATTCGTAACCATAATTTTCACATGATGGAGTAATGGCAATAATCAAATCATTAATTTAAGCAATCTGATTCCCCATCACATCCACAAGACACTGGTGATTCTCATGTCATCTCCAACCTTATCATTTACAAGTAGATAAATAATAAATTAATAATATGCTAAATGGATAATTAAAACTATATCAATAAAACATGTGGAGAACAAAGAAGGAGATGTGTGGGGCAGAGACATATGGGTCCACCAATGATGGGTATTTGATTCCTTGTGAAGGAGTTGATTTTGGAACGTTGAATTTGGGACTGCTACAATATTACAAGGATCAGGTATTAGAATTTCAGATAAGATTTTGTGTGATATTTGTTCCTGTCTTTAAGGTCACCCGACCATGTTGCTTTCTTTTAGAATATTTTATATTTTTTTTTCAGACATTTCCACGCTCTACCACTGATCTATGTACACTTTGTAAAGTTATCATTTGACTTTATTCTTGACCACCTTACTGTTGATATTTTTTATATTTTATTTTTTAATGATGTTATTATAGATAGTTTTTTTTCCAAAGGGATTTTTTTATTGTTTAAGGCTAGCATTAGTATCAAAGTAAAAGTTCGCCTCACCTTTTACAAAGGCTGAATCTAATATACGAACCTATAGTTAGTTCGCATTGATGCGAACTTGTTTTTTAACCATTAAATTATAATTATGTAATCTGAGTCGTTGATAATGTTACCGGATAACTTATATGAAGAAGTCAGTTTGGACCCGTGAGACATTCGACATGCACGTGCAAAAGTCGGTACATGGAGTGATAACATCGACCCATACAGAAGTCGGTTTGGGCCTCACCGACTTCTGTACATATTGGGCCGACCCGGATTAAACTTTTTTCTGGTTCATTTTTAATGTTTTACCTTTTTTTTGCAGGAATATGTGACGTGCCTTCAGCTTGGGCTGTAGCCTTAATTTATAAAAAAGGAAGCTTTGCAGGAGATAGATTGTTGCAGGCTTTTCAAAATTTGGGCTGCAGCTTTAATATCAAAAATTTAAGCTACATGGTGTGAAGTGATTGAAACTCAAACCGACTTCATACTTGTAGTTCAAATATTATATTACTATATTGTATATTATTATATTACTTTATTGTATAAATTAATATACGGTATAAATTACTATATTGTATATTATTATATAATATATACTTCGGTTTTAATATTCTATTTTTAAAAAATTGGAATTGAGAAGTCGGTGTTAATTGTAATTACATCACAATGCATGATAACTTTAAATTTGATTTGATGGATTTGGACAGCTTTTTCATTTAGCTTGTATTGTAGCTTTGTAATAAATCAACCCTTAAAAGTCGGTATAGTTGGAAGATGATTCAGATGGGCCTGAAGTGATGGAGGCCCACACCAACTTCCAAGTGGGTAAATTTTTTAAAATTTTTTGCAATGGGGAAGTCGGTGTTTATAGGTAAAACTTCCCAGTGGGCCTCAGATGTTGTTGAAGCCCACACCGACTTCCATGAAGAATACATGATGTTAACCTATAGAAGTCGGTATGCCCAAGAAAAACATCTCACTTGTGGCATGTTACTACATTATAAACCTTACTACATTGTCCATAGAAGTCGGTATAGAAGTGGGAGACATCACAAAGAGTCTTCCCACCTGAAACCGACTTCAAATTGGTGCATTCCCGTTAACCGGTTAACACAAATTTTAATCCTACGGTTATAAATAAGTTCGCATCCATGCGAACTAAACTTTAGTTCGGATGTTAGAAAGCACCTGTAGCAAATATTGAAGGATACCTATACCAAACATATTTTAAAGCTAGCAACAAAATAGAAACACAAAAAACTACAAAGATACAACATATTCATCTATTATTGAAAGGACGACATAAATTTTGCATTGAGCTTATATTGTTTCTGCTTTACCAACAAGCATTTATCAAATGCTGACCATATTCGATTTCAAAGGGTTTTTCTTTTGAATATTTAGAAAAGTAATCGTTGGTAAGAGTAGTTATAAACTTATAATGCAATTAGTTCTCTCTCCTATTTATGAAATATTATTTTAGTTGTAAATAAACTAAATTTCAGGAGCTTTATTGTTAGGAAAATGTTGATTGATGATAGGGGTAGAAGATTAGTCCAACAGTTTGGGTTTCATATTTGGAAAAAAAAGTAAGTATAAATTTACTCATTAAGCTCTTAATATTTTGTCTTAGCTCAAAAAATCAGGACATACGTGCATACCCTAAGTCAAGGGGGCTCTTCCATTTACCCAGCATATACCATAAAAAAGTTTCGAACACATGTCTACCTAGCCGATAAAATGGAGCATTTATATAGTTATTACTTGTTAGATAAAGATGTCCATTCTTTATGTTGGTTTGTTACTATTGAGGATTACATAATAATTATCAGAAAAAGCAACAATAAGGAAGAAATTATCAGAAAAATATATTTTCTTATATTTGCAACGTTTGATTGAAGGAATAGAACACGGAATTGTATGGCCCATCATATTACTATTTAAATTTATATGATACATGATAACATACTTCTTGGGCTAGTAAGTTGGATAGCCTTTGGGACATTAAGTACTCAACTATTTATTTTGAAGGATTAGCTCAATTGTTCGGTCATAGTTTTGTCACTCCAATTGATCACGGGAATACCACAACCCCTTACAAGCCCCATTGACTTTTAATAAATTTGGGCCCATCTTGATGCGTCTGTAAGATGCTCGAGACAAATTAATTAATTAATATATTGACAACAAATAAACACCTCCTATGGAAGAGCAATAATTAATGAAGATGCATGACTTGACTCATGGAAAAAGAGAGAGTAGCATTGGACATTACTGGAATTATCGTTGACCAATAAACAGTTGAAGAGATAAAAAACATCTTTGTATATTATATGAATTTGACACCTTTCAGAACAACTAATTCATGTTGATATAGTGAATTGTGCATGCTTTCATACTTCACACACCATGACCACACTATATCTCTCATGAGACTATCGTTCTTCTTGTTCACGATGATTACGAGACGATAGCTGGAAAACCCAATTAGGGAGTGACCTTGTTCTTCTTGAACTCATTTTGCTCTCATTGGCGACATTGATGTCCGAAACAAAGGTGGTTAATCGTGTAATGGATAAAAGTGGTATATTTTTATCATTAAAATAGACGTTACTGTTACTTAAATTTTAATAAAAGTGAAGTGCTATTTTAATGTCTCTAACTGCACCATATCTTATAATTTAGGATAATTTCTATTTTAATTTTGTTGGGTTTTTATTTAATAAAAAAGTTTTTCATCTTTACTAATTTGTATTATTTACAGATTCTGAAATTTATAATTAGGAATAAATTTAATTGATTTAAAAAAACTTTTTTAACAAATTGCTACATAAAGGGATTTTTCTTATCTTTTTATTCTAAATTTGAATGATACTATTCCATATATGAAATAAATTATTGTATAAACAAGTCACTAATTATACTGGACATGAATTACACAACGTTGACTTCTATTTTAATGATAACTCTTTATGGAGTAAATAATAAATGCAATATAAAAGATAAAAAATCCCTTTTATATGTAACAATTTGTGAACAAACTTTTTTTAAATCAAGTTAATTTATTCCTAATTGTAAATTTCAAAATATGTAAATAATAAAAATTATTAAAGATGAGAAACTTTTTTTTTATTAAATAAATACGTAAAGGAATTAAATAAAAATACGCATAGGGGCTCTCGATTGGTGGATCAAGGGGCGCACGGAGACGAACGTAGTCTCGCTCGTAGATGAACTCGTGTTCTTATGGGTTGGATGATGAGGTGCGGCCGATTGTAATGAAACTAGGTCGCGTTTTGTTGTCCGATTAATAAATCTTGAAGTCAATGCTGAAGGTGAAAGGTAAGCCAATTGGTGGTCGTGGATTAGTGCGACAACGAGTGCACTAGAAGGCGATACTTCACGGTAGTTTTCCACTTTTCTTTCTCACTTTTTGATGATTTCGTAGTGTATTTTGCTGAGTGTTTTTAGTATCTCTTCCGTATACATCATCCACTTATTTGTATTATATCATAAATCATTATATCCCCTAAAATCTCTCAACGTAATTATCTAAACTTTATCCTTAACATTTCCTAAGGGATAAGATCACACCAAAAATATTGTTTTATTTGCTTAACTCATGGAAGCATCTAAAGCATAAAATAGATCTTTATTTATTTATTTTCAATAATTCGAAATTAATTATAGAAAATAAATAAAAATAGTATTAAATAATAAATATTCTTTATTTATTTAATATTATAAATTTCAAAAAAGTTAATATCAATGTAATAAACTCATTTTATTTTTTTGTCTCTTTAGAAAAATGTATGAGTTTCTTGAAGCCTATTATCAATTTGTTTTTTATTTTTTCGAAATTTATTATTTTCAGAAAATCATATGTTTATTTTAATTATGTTGAAAAAAGTTTTAGATTTTTTCTGGGTAATCAGTGTTCACAATATCAATAAAGTATTTTTTAATAAATAAATATCGAATTCAATATTTTACTAAAAATTTAAAAAGATAGTGTAATTCCAAATGCATAACATTCTACGTCCACTTTATGAAGATGAGCATGAACAGTTTAAATCTAAGTAAGCTTAAATCAGATCAGTTCATTGAACACGGTTGAATCGTTCATTGGAAGAGAAATAAACAACGCGTATCATTTGTGTGATGATTGTTCTTACAAAATAAATACAAGAAGAAATAAAAGGCTCAGACACGCACAAACACTGTCATCAAGGAACAACAAATTTGCTTTGGTCCTGATCAGATTCGAGAAATGTTGTCTATCATCACAGCCAAGTATATATATAAAAAGTATATTCATAAATTAAATAGTCATTCAAATTTTAAAATTAAAACACCAAGTATATATATATATATATATATATATATATATATATATGGCAAGCAAATAGAAAGAATTGCAGAAAGAATGAACTTTGAAGAAAATATACAAGAGGGACAGAGGGGGAGATCTGAGATGATAAAAACCCTAATTCTAATGGATTCTAAGCTCTGGATAATGGAGTGGGTTTGGTCCACAGAATAGTATTGGGCCATTAACCCAAACAGTTAGAAGCGAAGATAATGTTATTACCACACGTGCACCAGCAATCTTTTTAGTTTTAGAAATAGAGTAACAGTGATATATACTGAAAGATGAATGATGCTTTAATGTATACATTCTTTGTTGGGGAGGGATCCACTTACTCCAAAAAAACACTTACTCTTCATCTTAGTCATCCAATCTTGAAAAATTCAATGGCTTAGATGTACTCACCAATTCAAACCATTGGATTTCCCAAGAATGAATGGTCATGATGTGGAGTAAGTGTTTTTCCACTTACTCTTGGAGTAAGTAGATCCCTCCCCTTGTTTGTTAGTTTAAAAGAAAACTGTATCATTAATTTTTAATTATTAATAGCTCTCCAACAAAAATAATATAAATGAATATTAAGTAATATGACAATTATGTATAAATTTTGATACGAATACTTTATATATATTAATTAAACTTCAAAATATATTAAAAAGAAGCATCAACGTTATCTTAACAATTAAATGAATGGGGTGGAGGCTCCACGTATTTTTTGGGTGGAATGGAGAGTCACGTTTATTTTGAACACACTCCTCTTCTAGACTTGTGTGAAAAGAAACGAGGAGCTACAAAAAGGGCGTGACGCACTCCCAGAACTGATTAATCATTCAAAAACACGTGTCAATCACTTTGCGGGAGAGACCAATCCACCGCGATATTAGCTAATATATTTGACTGCACGTGCAACTTACCAGAACACCCCACGTGGCACAACTATAACTAACCCCCGTGATTACACGTCTTTTTTCCCCTTTCTATTTTTAGAGTCTCTCGAAGTTTGATGACGTGTGCCAATGCCATAGTCTCAATCCTATCACCCAAAGCCCAGATGCTGCATTTTTGGGTTACTATTTTTGGAACGTATATTGTGTTACATTATATATATTTTATTATTCTAAATATAATAACAACAATGAAGACTTGTATTCTTCAGTGTGAATTGAAAATTTGAAACCGCTCCCTGAATTTCATATCTGCTAGCTTTCAACTCTGTGCCTTTATCCACAGGTAACCGCCTTATCCTATCTCGAACTGATCCAACCTAATCTCTTATTTTTTGCTTAGGATAAATTTTCATTTTTTTATTATATAAAAAGAAGTGTTAGGTGAATTCATTGATAAGAAATTTGTAAGACAACAGATTAAGTTCCAAACTGTGAACGGATTGGCAAATGTTGACGACTTAGAAAACAAGATATAAGGGCCGTCTCCATTATTGGCACGCAATGTTATACTATTATGCTGTTTTTGTACATACATATATACGTGTATTTGTTTTACACATTAGCCTTTGAACGCTTCTAAACTATACAGCCTGTGCCTCTGAATCTCACTCTATTCTATAGATAGAAGTTGCAACTATTTCACGGATTATTATGACCCCACAGCGAAAGAACTAGAATAATAATTGAAGCTAATATTTTCCTAGAGAAGGCGGAGAATGGAGATATTCTACCAGCCACACATCGATCCGGAGATTGAATCGCTCATTGAAAGAATACATCCTCCAAGGTAAATAAACTACACCGTCTTTTTTTCTTGTCTTTCTTTGTGTGAATTTTTCTCATCGTCCTTTTCTACATCACATCATTATTAATCAATGAATATTATTCTGTGTGCACAGGGTTTGCATAGAGAATGATTCTTGCAGAAATTGTAGTGTAGTGAAGGTTAGATAAACAATTCTCTCTACATTTGTTATTAAATCATTAATATAGTGATTGGACGAGTAGGTCACTGTTTATTATAGATAAGATTTGGCCTTTTAGGTTAAGCTTCAATATGCATAATTCACCATTAGATGATTATAGATTTATAGCTTTCAATGACCTACGGATTCTAAAGCAGAACTAACCAGATAAAGGAAAATGATTCTCTCACAACAATTTTTTAGGAGAGAAAGGTAGAAATAGATGGAAGGGATGTGATTGATTAAGGTGATAGGGAATGAAGAGAGAGAAAGGGGAAAAAATGAAGTGTAAGAGAGGTAGAAGAGAGAAAAAAGTAGAAATGTCATTATCAGATAAATCATCAAGTATGTATACCAACAATGGAGAAAGAATCTAAGTATCTAACTCACACTAAACAGTAATTAAATAGATATAAATTGTGCAGATTCCCATCCCGCCTTAAGCTAGTGTATTAATGTATCCTCTATTCATATAATATAATCATATTTTAGGATAAATGGCTAGAGCTTGAGTTGTTAGTCTTACGCTTAGAACCAAAAGCCAATTCAAATATTGTACTTTATTTATTATGCTTATCTATTCAGCAATGCCAACCACTACCAGTTAGGATATATTATATGAAGGTTAAGGACGGAAGTATTCTAAATGGTTCAGCACTTGATTGCCGAATAAGTTTGTCCTTTTTCTGTTGTGTTGTAATCTTGTAGAATTGGTCTGTAGTTCTATGAACATTAAACATGCAGGCAGCAATACTTATTGTTGCTACTTGCTTTGCTAGGCTAAAATTATCTTGTGTAGGTTTATGCTTTTAGCTAAAGAAGTCTTCATACAACTAATTAGTAAATGTATTGGAATTAAAAGCTTTTGACCTGATATTTATTTTAACAATTGAACATTAAATTAAACAAATAGTTTGGTGCCCCAAAAAACAGGTTGATAGTGCAAACAAGAATGGGATATTATTGGATATGGTCCAGGTGTTGACAGATCTTGACCTTAACATTTCCAGATCATACATTTCTTCTGATGGTGGATGGTTTATGGACGGTAAGTGTGTCTCCCTCAACATTCCCCTTTAATTTCTTCAGTACTCTACTGATATTTAATTTCTTCAGTACTCTACTGATATTTAATTTCTTCAGTACTACACATTATCTATAAAAACACAATTTTCACTAAAACCAAAAGTTGTTGCGTGGCTGTACAGATAACATTTTTGTGCAAATGAAATAATAATTACTAAAAGCCTTACTTCTATATCCCAATATATGAGCTATGCATCAGTCATATACCTCCTAGCTCCAAAACTAGGAGATTATCATCTGCAACCTGTTATGGTTCTGTTCTGATCCATGTGGTGTTTTTTTTGTATTACGCAATGCAGTGTTTCATGTGACTGATCAAGCTGGCAAGAAGCTCACAGACCAAAATCTCATGCTCCATATTCAGAAGGTCTTTCTCTTTCTTCTTGCCTCATCCTGAGACCATCTCTCATCAATGTAAAACATAAAATTCAACATTTATAAAATAAAGTCATCTCCCTATCTCACACACTTACTTTTGATCCTTTAGTATACACACACACACAAAAATGTATCTAAGAAATAATCTCAAAAATCAAATGCACGTAAAACATTATTTGAAAAAACAAACTAAACAAAAAAGTTTATTCATATTTCAGGCACTGTGCGCCCCTAGAAGTAAAAGAGAAGGAAATGCAGAAGTGTGTAAGGAACCAAAGTCACAACAAAACGTGCCAAAAGAGAACACAGCCTTGGAGATAACTGGGATGGACCGACCAGGCCTTCTATCAGAGATATCAGCTGTGTTAGTTGATTTGGGCTGCCACGTCACCTCTGCAATGGCGTGGACCCACAATGACAGAGCGGCTTGCATTATATACGTGGAAGACGCAATTAAACCTGGACCGATCAACGATCCAACACGTCTGGCCCGAGTGGAAGAGCAGCTTGAGACTGTTGTGGAGGCCCACAGAGGCAAGGGGGAGAGGAAGAGCGTTAGGTTGACAACCTTCGCCGCTGGGCGAACACACCCAGAGCGGCGGCTCCACCAGTTGATGTACGCAGACAGGGACTACGAGAGTTGCCGCGCATGTCACGGGGACAGTAGCGGGGAACACAAGAAAGGGTGTGATGGAACCCACGTGTCCGTTACCAAATGTGAAGACAAAGGGTACTGGGTGGTGCAGGTGAGGAGCAGGGACCGCCCTAAGCTGCTTTTCGATACAGTGTGTGTGCTAACAGACATGCAGTATGTTGTGTTTCATGCAGCAATTAGTTCAAAGAAATCCATAGCTGACCAGGTATAATCATTCATCTATAGAGATATGACGTACAATAAAATCTCTTCTAGTCACACTGTAGGATAAATGTTTGGATTTTATATAATAAAATGTCTCGTAGAGCTATTGTATTAATCCAGGTGTTAATTTCTTAATTACAACAGGAGTACTTTATACGGCACAAGGGCAGTAACTCAACTCTAGACAACAAAGGCGAGAGAGAAAAGCTCATCTTATGCTTAATCTCTGCTATTGAGCGCAGAGTCTCGCATGTACGTCACCTAACACACACCATCAAGGTTTCTTTTATTGTTACTATTATTATGCTATACCTGAAATGCTTCATTTGTTCTTTTTCTAATGGTTACTCTCAATACATATGTGCATTGGCACAGGGATCAAGAGTAGATATTCGCACTGAAAATAGAATGGGATTACTGTCGAACATCACACGTGTGTTACGTGAAAATGGATTATCCATATCAAGAGTTGAGTTTGGAACAGATGGGGAGAAGGCAGTTGGAACATTCTTTGTTACAAATTCTTCAGGTGAGGAAGTGAACCCGAGTATAGCAGAGTTAGTGAGACAAGTGTGTGGCGGGACCGTAATTATTGATCACAAGTCACCCCATAGGGTCGCTCCATCATCAATTCAAGTTGAAAAAGAAAGCAAAATAGAGACTGAGCCAAGATTTTCTCTGGGAAGCA